GACACCGCATTGCATCTTGTAATAGCTTTCATCATCATCAATACAATCATCAGCTTTTATCATCAATTGCTCATTTTTCGCTGCTCAATTGCTCACGACATTGGTTTTTCCGTACGGCACTGACAATCTAGTCTAGCATACGGCGAGAACCTCAGTTGGTACATAGCAAACGCACTGACATCGGTTGATTAGCTTTACGTCGCCCTTCCAAGGATAATGTAACTATAATGTCATGTCACATAACTTATTATAGTGTGAAAAAGAGATCTCTTTTTATTCATGAGAGGCACTTCCTTTTGAAATATTATTCAAAACTCGTCTAACATCATCATGTCTATCGTTTAATGGTAGCAGTGCATTCATTTTTCGTACGATTAATAACACCACTTTTCTGGTTGAGGACGGTCAATAAAAGCATCCACATGACACCATAAACCATAAATTTTCCTTTATTTAAAAAACAAATTAAAAAAGTTTGAAATGTATTATCTTATCAGTCACACAACAACAACAACTACAAAAGAAAAAAAAACAGGAGGGCCAGTGGGCCAGATATTATGGTGGGGGCTTGGTGTGTGAGTAAATTCGGAAGAAATTAAATCCACATATGAAGATTTTACTACTTTTATTGTTGGGCTAAAGTGCAGTGGATTGATAGAGAGTTCTCTTATTAATATTTACTTTTGCTTTATTTTTGAAAAAAATGTAAACCTCAGTACACTACTAATGTTGGCCATTGGCTAGAGAGATTAATCACATTAAAATGCCAAACTAGACAGGTTTGGAGCGGCTTACAATCATTATTTATGTTGTATAGTACTCTCTCTGGTCCATTTTAAGAGCCTATTTTGCTAAGTTTATGGGATGCTAAAAGTATTTTTTTAACTTTTTTTGTCAAAAAGGTTCTTTTTTGAAAACTTTAAGGTATTTGGCCAAAATAAAAAAATACTTTTAAGTAGTCGCGGAAGTAGTTTTTCTGTTTTTGGGGAGAAGCTACAAATTCTAGTTTAATTTATTCAAGACAAAAATAACCTTACAATAAATTTATATTTTTCAAATTATCCTTTATTAATTTAAGATTTTTCTTTTTCTTTTCCTTTTTATTTTTATTTCTACTATACAAATCTTATCTTTTTTATTTTAATATTATTTTTATTCTCTTTTTCCTATTCTTACTAGTAGATTTTAAATTTATATTAAATAACGTATTTTAATATATTTAAATTATCACATAAACAATAAGTAATACCAAACACTCAATGTTATTGCTTTGGAATAACTATATTTTATATTAATTACAAAATATTATTTATATTTTTATTTTAAGTTTTATATTTTAATTGAATTCTTTTATAATAAATATTTAAATTTATTTTTTTTCTAAATAATACTAATCGCAAATTGAATATTTACTGTCCTTTTTCATAATTTGATACTTAAAAGTATTTTTTTTTTAAGATTGGCCAAACACAATGAGCTTGCAAAAAGCACTACTCAAACGAATTAGCCAAACACGAAATGTTATTTTTCAAAAAGTACTTTTTCAAAAAAATACTTTTTAACAAAAGTACTTTTCTAAATAAGTAGCTTTTGGCAATTTGGCCAAATGGGTTCTAAGTTGTCATGGTTACTAAATCCAATTGGTTTCAAATACTTGTCATTTTAGAAATCTAAGATATGATTAATTAATTGTTTCCTATTTGTCTTTAGTATTATTTGTTCTTGAATGTAAAGCATTGATTACATAACATAAATGTGAAGAGTAAATTAGGTACAATAATCAAACAACATTTTTTGTTAATAGTTTGGACGTATAACAGAAATACATAACAACTAAAATGAACCGGAAGAAGTAATACCGTTGAATTTTAATAAAATCAACGGAAAGAGCTAAATATGTGGTTGCTTGAGCTTGTACTGTATTGATACTAATGATAGTTATAGTTTCCCCAACGTCCCATGTTTTCAACCTCTCCTAGCCACTAATAGTTTCAAAGCGGAAATACTTGGAATTTGCTTTAGAGAGGAGTTACCACCAGTTGTGGTGATCTAATGATTAATCAGAAATGACAAAATGATAATCTGGCACTAATAATTTAGGTATTTGGAAAACAATGCACGTCTTTGCGCGTAATTTTTCTGGCTGAAAATCTCATGGAACATGGGATTTTGTTCACAACCAGCCTGAGGCTGAGGTATCAAAACCCGACTAATCAAAATTTTCACTCATAGGACCTATTAAAAAGGCAGAGAGATCTTATTCACCGTAGTACAAATGTGCTTGTACTATATTGATTAATGATGCTAGCAGGAGTGGAGCTAGCATAGAATTTACGGATTTGGTCGAACCCATTAAGTTTGATCAAAACCATGTATTTATCTTATGAAATCTATTAAATATATATAAATTGTTAATTTAGAGTTCAGAAACTTAACCGGACTAGAATTCGAATCCATAAAGATCAAATATTGGTTCCGCCTCTAACTGCCAGTTGCCCCAACTTTTCGTTTCTTTAACTTCTGCTGGCCAGTAATATAGTTGCAAAAAATGCATGGCTTTGCACATAGTTTCCTTACTGAAAATATCATGTAACATGGGATTTTGTTCACAACTAGCTCTTTAATTCAATATTCAATATTAAGACACGTTGCTCGACAAACAAAATGGTTTATCCTTATAGCATGAGCTTTGTCAGCATCATAGTATTACTTGGAGAGAACCGATGGCCAACATGCAAGGTTGTTAGTGTTTATAATCCATATATTTGAGTTGAAACAGTAGGAACAAAATAAACAAACAAAAAAACAAAAGTAAATTAAAGGAAACAGAAATTTACTTCAACTGCCATCCAAAACAGTAGCTAAGGATAGTAATAAATGGAATCCAACTACACTCAAGTAAACTCATAAATGCATCCCAACCGCTCCCAATATACACTGTTACTATCCCTACACTAGTAGTCTAGTACTACTTCTAGTATAAGTAAATCACCTTTCTTGGCTCATTTTCCAATCACCAAAAAAACAAAGCCATTTTCAGTTGTTCATCTCTCTTGTTTTTCCAATCTCATCACCATTTGTGAAATTAGCCATGGCAGGTGAAGTAGCAAAGGAGGAAACTGTTGTCACAAATGTGAAAATCCTGAAGAAAAGTAACGTAAAACCACATAAACCACTAGGCAAAAAAGAGTGCCAATTGGTAACATTTGATCTTCCTTACTTAGCTTTCTATTACAACCAAAAACTGCTGATCTATAAGGGTGCTGAAAACTTTGAGGAAACGGTGGAAAAACTGAAAGATGGTCTTGCCTTAGTGTTGGAAGATTTCTATCAACTAGCTGGGAAACTGGGAAAAGATGAAGAGGAGGTTTTCAAGGTGGAATACGACGATGACATGGACGGCGCGGAGGTGATAGCGGCCGCCGCAGAAGGGATTGAAGTTGCAGATCTTACGGATGAAGAAGGCACCTCCAAATTCCTGGATTTAATTCCTTGTAATAAAATCTTGAATTTTGAAGGGCTTCACCGGCCTCTTCTGGCTGTGCAGGTAANCACGTGCCCGCCAGCTCAAGCCGGAGGACTACACAGTCTACACCGTCTTCGCCGATTGCAGGAAAAGAGTCGACCCTCCGATGCCGGAGAGTTACTTCGGAAACCTAATTCAGGCGATTTTCACGGTGACAGCAGCGGGTTTATTGCTGGCACAGCCAATTGAGTTCGCAGCGGGGATGATACAGCAAGCAATTGTGAAACACGACGCTAAGGCGATCGATGAACGTAACAAAGAATGGGAAAGTAACCCGAAGATTTTTCAGTACAAAGATGCAGGAGTGAATTGCGTGGCAGTTGGAAGCTCGCCGAGGTTTAAGGTGTACGACGTGGATTTTGGATGGGGAAAGCCGGAGAGTGTGAGGAGTGGATCGAATAATAGGTTTGATGGGATGGTGTATTTGTATCAAGGGAAAAATGGAGGAAGAAGCATTGATGTGGAGATTAGCTTGGAAGCAAATGCAATGGAGAGGTTGGAGAAGGATAAAGAGTTTCTCATGGAAGCTTAATTAATTTTCTCTGCTTGAATCTATCTCTAAGTTCTATGAGTAATTTGTATGTTTCCTTTTTCTATTTTCTTTCTAGTTTTTTCCTTTTGTTTTATTTAGGGGGTGGGGCTGGTAGGGGTACCAGAGGGTTCTTCTTCTCCTTCTTTATTTATTGTTTTCTGATTTTCTATGTTTTTCGTTCTTTGTATGTTATGCAGAGACGAAAGTCATGAGTTTAAAGGAATAAAGTTTGTTAGTGATTAATTAATGCGTGATATCTTTCATCTTCATGTTTTACCAGAAGAATATAAATAGTTAAAACAGAAGTATCTGCGGCTCGTGATAAACAATAAACATTACCCGTTCACAAATTTATGTTTATGTTTTACCTTTATATATTATGTTTACACAATTTAAAGGCATAACTTTGTGATCAAGTGGGTTTAAAAATTTTGTAAGGTCATTGATTCTATTCCCTCTAGCTACAACTTTTTGACCTTTTTTCTTATTTGAACTCCCTTAGCGGTAATTCTGTCTTCGCCACTGTCCACAATATGTGACCATTTTACCTTTGGTATACTCATTAAAGAAATACGAACTTCTAGAGGAAAAAAATGTATTCATTAAATTAACTTTAATTAATTGTTACCTTGACATATTGGGATATGTAAATAAGGACAATTTTTAAAAAAAATAAAATTAATTTTTTTTTATTATGCAAAAAGACACTTATTTTGAATCAAAATTAAAAAGGTAGAAAATAGCTTCTAGTACTAGGATTACTGAAAAGTTGGAGTAATCTTTTGTGTTAGAGCATGGTTAAATTTGGATTGTGAAAAATGATATTGGTATTCAAATAACTAATCTCTTTGGATGTTACAGTCAGTAGTTAGCTTTTTAGATTTCGGACAACAAGCCGGATAGTGACGGTAACTTAAGAAACTGATACAATCAGGAAAATTTAGTTATATCAAGTAAGATAATTTAAACCAAACAGCCCTTTGTTGATAAATGTTCCTATATTTAATTTACACTGTGAAATCTTCAAGTTTCATTTTAACATACCAAAAAGAAAGTAATTTGTCTTATTATTTAGAACAAAGGTACCAACCAATTGTAACACCTTATAGTGGAATTTAAAAATCTTAATTATCTCTGAGCGCTTGAATACTTCAATTTAATTGCCATACAGTTACACCATTGTTCCAACTTCGATGAAAAAGAAATAACATCTCAATTTACGAAAAACAAGAAAAGGTTGAACCTTATTTTTGATCATCAACACACAAGCTTAAATTAAAAATGAATGGACGGAATCTGAGATGTCATCTCCGTATAACGTTAATCAGAAAGTCTTAGAAGGTTTACGAGAGAATATTTATTTCATCCCCAGGCCCCAGCCAACCATCTCATCTAGCAAATAAAGAGGACGTGGGTTTATCTTAATTTATACAATACAAGTATACAACAAGTGAAATCCGGTAAAACACTCTTCCAATGGCTATAATGTACAAAATTGTTTCTCGAGCAACAGATGTCCAAGTTCAAAAAGCATCTTAAGAATAATACTACAATATTCAATCATTCAAAAAATAACAAGCCCTGCAGTAAACAATGTTAACTTCCCTATGTCTCGCTTTCAGGTTTCTGGGAAGAAGGGATCGGCGAGGCAGCTTCTTTCAGAGTTTCTGGAGTATAATGCAGTTAAGAATAAACATCAGAAGAACACGCTGAGGGGATAATGCAGTTAAGAATAAACATCAGAAGAACACGCTGAGGGGGACAGAAGGAAATTACTATGCACAAAAATCACTAACCTTGCGACTGGCTTTGGACATTGGAGGGGCTTTGCTGGGGAGAAGATAGCTGCAGCTCAGTGATCTTTGAAACCTCTTCACTTGAATATGCTCCATCTGAGGAAGATGAATTATCTGCTATTTCAGAAACAAAAATACCATATAGTTCCTGTAATGTACTCAAGTAGGCAACAAAAAAGACAAAATGACATTTTATTGATACTCAAAATGGACACAACAATATCTAGTGAAGAAGACAATGACTGAGAGAGAGCGGAGGAGGAGGAGGAAGAAAGAGAAACTGCAGAGAAAGAGAGATTCAAAAGTTTATCATTTTTTCCATGCCCCATTTCCCTTGTTGCCTGTAGTATTTATAGAACTAGTGAGCCAACTCTTCTAACTGCCTTCAACTGTATAACTAACTTCTAATCCTAACTAACTTGCTTTCCAAACAATTACAGTTCCCAATGGATGAATAAGAAAACAAATTTGGTCGAAAAGCCCTAAATTGTGAATATAATTTCATATCAGCTCTGGGTTGCAGAACAGAACTAGTAGAAATGAACCTTGCTTCTTACCAGAAAATTATATGGTAAAGATAGCAGGTAGGCTGAAAGAGCTGAATGTTTACCCATAGGCAAAGAGACATCGAAGGTAAGAGAAAGTAAAGATGTGCTTAGCAGTTGGATGCAGGCGATTTGTTTCTGTTTTAGTTTGAGAATCTGTACATACACGTTACTTAGTAATAAAAAATTTCAATTACCAAAAAAAAAAAAAATGGTAAAGGATATAAGAATTCAAGCAGAGGATTGCTTATTGTACTAATGAGGCAATAAAAAACCAAACAAAAATATATCACTTTCCGGAAACTCCAGCAGGAACATAGCAAGAGTAACCAGGTTTGTGGACTTCAGCAATTTAAGAGATGGAACATAGCAAAGAGGTGTTTTCTATGTGCACACGTTACTAACCTTGCGACAGGCTTTGGGCATTGATGGGGCTTTGCTCGGGAATAGATGTCTCATTCTGCAGCTGAGCAGCTGCGTTTAGCTGCTCCTCGGTGATCTTCAAGTACTCTTCAGTTGAGTATGCTCTATCTGAGGAAGAAGTATTATCTGCAACTTCAGAAACAATAACACCAGTTAGTTCCTTAAGGATGAGTGGATGACCAAACAAACATTTGGAAGGACAGAATATGTCATAAAAACTCAAGTGATTTTGCACAACACATCTAGTAGAAACGCACCCTGCTTCATACCAGAAAATTAATGGTAAAGGAGAAGAACTCGAGCAGCGGATTGCTTATTGTACTAACGAGAGTGACAAAATATCCAAATAGAAGTGCAGTAACCAGGTATCTGGAATTAGCAACCATGGTTGGCTATAGTAGAAATCTAAAATAATGGAGTTCTAAACTTTATTTTGCATATCTACTTACCTTGTGACACAGTTCGGGATTCAGACTGACTTTCAAGTAAGGATGCAAGGTCTTTCTCAGCTTGTTTTTCAGCCTCAGCGATTCTCAGCAGCCTTTCCATGTCCTCCTCACTTGAGGAAGCTATGCTTGGCGATGGAGAACCATCTGTCATTTTTGTAAGAGTTACATAATGAAATTCCTTCACAGGATATGAAACTATTTAGTCTGTTAACAAAAATGAGCATGGAACACAGATTTGCTTCTTCAATGACATAATAACAAATCTAATAGTTACAGAAGAAGGCTATGGATAATACTAGGTAAAAGAGGTTCAGGATAAGGACCAAAAGTTAGAAGAACTAAACTTAAATCCTGGAAAGGCAATGTGTGAAATGAGCCCTATGTTTCCATGAACTCTTCGTGCATTCCCTTAACGTTTTACACCTGTACAATAAAAAACCCCAACTTCTGTCCATCTCGAAAAAAAAACATTCCGTAAAGAATTTCCTTTTAATCCAAGTGGTTACTTCACAAAGTGGAAATGAATGTAAAAGCAAGATTCACACGACAATCAATATTCTATGGTCAATGTTAAATGTAGGTCCCAATATGAATAAAATAAGAGACCTCTGTCAAGCTGTCAGAGTGTTGAGCTCACAAGTCTCTGATCGGTCATCATCGGTGTGTGTCCAAAAGAACGTGAGATGTTCTCACATAGCTACTCTGACTAGTATAATTAATGATTGCACGCAATGTGTATCATGCCTGAATCTAACTGGGATTCGCGTTGGTGGAGGAATTGGATGGATAGCGCGGTGTAGCTTTCAAAAGTATAACAAGAAAACTCTCAAACGCCAACACTATAAAATACAGTTGGCACAAGATCAGACCACCTCTGCTGACAAATTTTACTAGGGGGAGATGAGGATTGAATCTTGAAACTCTACTGATGAACTCCCAACCCTAACACAACATTTTTCACACAAAAATGAAGTTCCGAATTACATGCAACACTAAAAGGCACAACTACAGTTAATCTAATCCTATTTCTACCTCACTTGGCAGAATAAAAGATATTATCTTCTAGGACAAATTCAAAAATCATGAAACCTTTAATTAAGCAGTAAAGTGAACTCTAGCATAGTGAACAACGCAGAAACATTAACGTGTTTTAAACCTACATTTTAGTGGTAGCTGCCTTTCTTTCCCCATGCAAATTCTAAACTGCAATATTTACCATAGTGCCAATTGAACACCGCTCGATCTAAAGTAAAAACTGTGCACACACCAAAGGTTGTTTAATATGATAAGTACACTCATATGCTTGGCACTTTCTATCTGGCATCGCTATAACATCTAAGCCGTTGATATGATGATTAAAACGTCTAAGAAGTTGAAGCCTGTTTGAAGATTATAAAAATAAAAGTATACTAATTTTGGGAAACACAGAGGGAATATTAAAAGGTATAACGACCCACTGGGATCAACCTCCTGTCTTAAAGTTGTGCTAGACTTAATTGTGTCTTGGCCTGAACCTTTAATGTCATCAAGGCCAATCTCTCGTTCAAGTGTGCTCTTGAAGTCCCTTGAAACTTCCTTCAAGCAAAAGACAAGAGCACCATGAGAATCAAAACCTGCTTCAGAAATAAAAGAAACAAAGAAACTCAGACAAATGTCAATAAGGACCTACCTGAAGTTCTCTGATAGTAGGTTGAAATTCACGCAAAGTTTTCCCAAGGTTACGAGCAACCTGACATACAGAAAGCCTCATTATGTAAGATGAAAAATCAAAGTTTAGGTTCTCATTAGACATTAGAGTTGAAGTGAGACATGCTAAATTCTCCTATTGCAGAAAAACAACTGGTAGTATGGTCAAGGTTACATTTAGATTGGTGTACTTGAACCAGAGGGAAGGATTTGAAGTTCACAACTTCAGAATCCCGAAATTTTAGCTGCAGAACCAAATGCATAATTAGAATGTGATTTTGCAGCAAAAATTGGACCAACAAAAGAGAAAGCTAAGCCATTCTCCAGCATTACCACAAAGAACTCCAC